TTGACAGTGCTTTCACAGGATTATTCCACGTCCGGCAAAGTGTGACTGAGAAATACATCCCGAATTTTTATCGAGCTTGCCGATGACAGATTCAGACGCATAAATGAGAGTAATGAACCATCGGTACCAAACGACAGTAAAATCAGAACAGGCGTTGTCGCAAGTCGAAGCTGGTTACTGTGTATATTTCAACCTCTTTAAACAAGAGCACAGAAAAGTCCAAAAATAAGAGCCTAAAATGCGCATAGACCCGCATAAACACTCCACTGGGACCTTTGTTAAAAAACGCTTAATGTAAAAAGTAAAAATACACCACAACGTTTATGGGTTTGGCAGGAAAATGGGTACGTCAACCTGAACGAGATAAAGTGTGTGGTGGTAAGTAAGGACAATTGCGTTCGGTGAGTTAGGCGGGCGAGTATAGTGATTAAATAGAAGGGACGGGAACAGGTGGATCATGTGACGACAACGAGCTGAAGGGGTCAGATGGCATGTTATGTGACGGAATTGACTCAGAATAAACCGATTTAAGCCTGTCAATTAAGGCGTTGTCAGTCTTGCCTGTCTTCTTCAGAACGTAATACCTGTGAATCCACTGGAGTAATTTACATAGGTCATCAGGATTGGAACAAAGAGGCTTGCGGACTGCGTCGTGCCGGTGTAAATGAAAGGGGAAAATTTGAGGTCCTTACGCAAGAACATACTTTTGGATGTCGTACGTGTGTTATTTGGACGTACTTGGGCTATGCGCCGCTTTGTTTGCTGTACGGAACGATTCGGCTTGCTGTCGTTCATATTGGAGGAATCACAAATTTGCCGGGCAGGCGAATGGGTGTACCGCATACGAGCTTGGTAGCGGTGCACTGAATATCCTCCTTTGCACAAGATCGAAGACGTAAGAGTACAGGAGGAAGATTGTCACTCAAGGAAGTTGGTTCTGAGTGAGAGATCAGTGCAGTCTTTGGGTGATTGTGTAGGCGTTCTACAAAGCCGTTGAGGTTATAATTTGCCGCAGTTATAGTGTGCGCATACCTGAGCAGTCTAATGAACTCATGGGAGACTGGATTTAAATTGCTTTTTGCTGTCGGTGATAATGGTGTCTAACACACCAAAAGTGAGAATCCAGTGCGGCAGAAAGACCGTGTCAGTATTTTCTGCCGAGGTACCCGAGATAGGGTTGGCAATTGGCCGTCGTGTGCTTGAATGCCAGGAACTGAAACGGGTTGATCGTCTGACCACAATAGTTGGTCAGCATATGAGAAGAATTGCTGTTTTTTCCCTTTTTTCTATACTGGGAAGCAAGAGCACTATTCTTCCCAAAAACAGGCTGTCGGTACTTTTAGTTAGCTAAGACTATAGCTCACAGGATCAGAAAATAGTCTATGCTACCATAAGGACGTATATTCGACGACAATATTACTGACTGACGCAGTCAGTGAGGGATAAATAAGTGTTGATCATCTACGTCATTTCTGAATCCGGTGTGATGCTCACTTGATCTATAAACATAAAGTAAGTGAAATGCGAATTTTGTCCACAAACTAACATCCTTTGTGTTTCAATGCAGGTAAATGTAAGGACTATCAATCTCAACTCAGACAAAATTGTATAACACTTGTTAGGGCGCATGCTTAAACGAACCTTTAACGAGTGCGCTGCACGAATCTCGCAGACTGAACTCAGCTTTCAGCTATAAAATGGTCCTAATTTCGATATCTGATGAACATTTGGTGGCAAGATCATAATAGCCAGTCGAGTTATTACCTTGAAGCCAAATATGGGACAAGATTTTACCGACATCAAGCCAAAATTAAAAGAAATCTAACCGGCATGG